CGCGGCGGGGTCGCCGCCGACACCTTTATCCCCCCTCTGCGGCCCCTACAGTCAAAACGTGTATTAAGGGTGGGTGGTGAGGACGCAAGGCCCTTGGAGGCCGAAGCGGGGACTCTTGGGGCGGCGGGCGACCAGTGAACGGCAGAGGACAGGCCGCAGGTGCAAGGACACAAGGGCACCATAGGCGAAGGCGCGCGTCCTTACTAGGCGCGTTGACTGTACTTCGTCGTTTCGACCGCGCTGCAGCCTCCCGGCGCACGCGGGCCAGGTCCGCGCGGAGTTGGCTCGCTGCTGCACCCCTCGCTGGCGCACGGAGCGCGCCAGGCAGGCGGCGCTGGAGGCGCCGCCGCGGGGGGCCTCCAGCGCCGACCCGAGAAGTCCGCGCGGAACTCCCAGAAATCGTGTTCACGCCGCGTTTGATGCTCCGAAGAACGGCATTGGCACCTTTCTCCTCCTCCACCTCCTCCTCCTCCTCCTCCTCCTCCTCCTCCTCCTCCTCCTCCTCCTCTCTCCTCCTCCTCCTCCTCCTCCTCCTCCTCCTCCTCCTCCTCCTCCTCCTCCTCCTCTCTCCTCCTCCTCCTCCTCCTCCTCTACCTCCTCCTCCTCCTCCTCCTCCTCCTCCTCCTCCTCCTCCTCCTCCTCCTCCTCCTCCACCCCACCTCCACCTCCACCTCCACCTCCCCCTCCGTCCTCCCCCCCTCCTCCCCCTCCTCCACCTCCACCTCCTCCTCCCCCTCCTCCACCTCCTCCTCCTCTCTCCTCTCTCCTCTCTCCTCATCCTCCGCGTTCCGCGTCAGCGCTCCACCCTGAACGCCCGTGGCGGGGTCGCCGCCACGTCGACACGACACGAGCCTGCCGCACGTGCTCCCCCTCTGCGCCCACCTGCTTCGTCGCCTTGCCTGCACTGGACCCTGGAGGCCCCGACCCGTTCCCTGGGACCCGTTTTCCGTCCGGAGTCGTTCGTTGACTGTCCCTGGGCCTGGCGAGGGCCCCCAGAGACCGAAGGTTGCCAAAAGCATTCCGTCGCCCTTGCCCCCTCTGCGCTGTTGTTCGTCCTGAGTCGTCTTTTGACGGTCCAGGGGCCTGGCGAGGGCCCCCAGAGACCGAAAGTTGCCAAAAGCATTCCGTTGCCCTTGCCCCCTCTGCGCTGTTGTTCGTCCTGAGTCGTCTTTTGACGGTCCAGGGGCCCGGCGAGGGCCCGCAGAAGCCGAACATTGCAACAAAAAACAAAAAGCCTCCCGCTGTGAATAGTTCATGGCCGGCGGGGGTCTGGGTTTCTTGTCCCCTGCATGTTTCTTGTCTCTTCTGCGCCACTTGTCTTTCGTCTTCTTTCGGGGACCTACTGACCCGGGTCAATCCAGACCCGGGTCAGCCAGGCCTTGGAGGATCCTGCAAGACCCTGCAGAATCCTGCAGGATCCTGCACCCAAGCCCGGGTCAATGCAGCCCTTAGCTCTGCAGAATCCTGTAAGATCGGGCGTGCAATATCGTTGATGAGTCTTGGGTTTGCACTCGCAGGTCATGGATCGCAAGTGTTCAGTCAGTCCGTCAGTCCTCCTCCCCGTCCTCCTCATGCTCCTGCTCCTGCTCCTCCTCCTCCTCCTCCTGCTCTTCCTCCTCCTCCTCCTCCTCCTCCTCCTCCTCCTCCTCCTCCTCCTCCTCCTCCTCCTCCTCCTCCTCCTCCTCCCCGTCGGCACTGCCCTCCTCCTCCCCGTCGGCACTGACCCCCGTCGCTGGAGCCCCGACTCCCGGCTGCGCTGCCCCTCCCGGCGCCCGCAGCAGGGCCGGGTCCTGGCGTTTTCGAGCCAGTTCCACGGGCGGAACTCCCCGGCGCCGGGCAGGTCGGGCAGCTGCGGGTCCTCCGCGCCCCCCCCCCCCAAGGAGCGAGGAGCGAGAGGAGCGCGAGGAGCGAGCAGGAGGAGGGAGAGGAGGAGGAGGAGGAGGAGGAGGAGGAGGAGGAGGAGGAGGAGGAGGAGGAGGAGGAGGAGGAGGGAGAGGAGGAGGAGGAAGAGGAGGACAAGCTAGGTGAGCTCGCGTCATATCTGACGTCCTACCCCTCCCTCCCATCATATTCCATGGCGTAGATCTCCCCTCGATTCGCACAATCGGATGTCGCAGCATGGCATAGCATTACATGGCATAGCAGGGTGTCTAAGATCAACGCGTAGCATGACATAGCATGGCGTGGCGACGCCCCAAGGCGGGGGGGGAGGCTTCCGCGGCCCAAAAAGTCGACGAATCGACACCGAACGTGTAATCACTTCGGATGGTTTCTTCGGGGGTCCATGTCCTACATTTTGGGGACTATTTGGAAGCACCGAAAACAATGCCGGGGCATGGTGCTGGAAATAATGACGCCAGCGCGGCAGCGGGAGCACGGTTCGGAATGAGCGGAAGCGCGGACATGACGCCAGCGCTGCAGCGGGAGCCCGATTCGGAACGAGCGGTAGCCCGAAAACGAGTCCAGCGCTTCAGCGAGAGCAACATGTTTTGCAGAAAAATCTACCAAAATCAAACTTCCAGGAATCCCTGTGGAAAAAAATACGCGGAGGGGGGCCGGACATTCCCTGGACGCCACCAGGGGAGAGAGGAGAGTAGTACTCATATTGTAATTGTGGAGGAGGAGGAGGAGGAGGAGGAGGAGGAGGAGGAGGAGGAGGGGGAGGAGGAGGACCTTGGGGACGATGAACAGGAACAGGCTATACGACGTAGTCGAGTGAGTAAAAAGATACCCTCTCTTCCCTGACCGACACGGAGGCCGAGAGCGAGCCCGACCGCGACGAAGATGCCCCCTTGTCTCTTACGTAAAGCAGGACGAAGTCCACCAGTAGCACAACCCCCGCGACGATCGTGGCTCAGAAATGCCAGGCCGATTCTTGAGGCAATGGCAGGACGAAACTTGAGGCCACTTGAAACCAACCCCGCGGCAGCAGATTGCCTGCTTTGTCGTGCGCGAGGACGGCGGAGAATCCAGATGAGCGCCACCACTTGCATGGAAGCCACGGGCGCCCAGCCCGCCTCGCAGACCGCCTGAACACGCCAGCGGAGCCTGGCAGCATCTGAGTCATGTGAAGGGGCCCTGGGACACACAAATTCGCCGGCCCAACGGGCCAGAGGCGTGCTAAGATCTCCGGTAACTGCTCAACAATATTTCTAGTTCGCGCGCGCGCGGGGCGGGCCCTGGGGGTCCCCGGACGAAAAGTACCCCGGCAAGGTCCCGGCAAGATCCCGGCAAGGTCCCGGCAAGGTCCCGGCAAGGTCCCTTTTCGGAGCCCAGGAGGGCTCCAAACGGTCCAAGAAAGGCCCGAGAAGCCCTCCAGACGGTCCAAGAGAGCCGGGAGACGCCGAAATATCACTCCCAAACGCCTGCGATGGCCTCAAGACGGCCCAACAGGCCTTCAAGACGCCCCAAGAGGTCCCTAAGCGGCGCCCCAAGAGGGCTCCCACAAGCAAAAATCGTCCCATTCCCTTAGGAAAACGTGCATTTTTAACATATCCGCCTCTTCGTCTTTCACACCTTTCAAGGCGGTCCAAGAGGCCCCCAAGATCACCCCAAGACGGCCCGAGAGACCCTCAAGACCGCTCAAAGACGGCCCAAGAGCGCTCCAAGAAGGCCCAAGAAACCCTCAAGAACTCTTTTTCGGAGCCCAGGAGGGCTCCAAATCGGTCCAAGAGGGGCCCGAGAAGCCCTCCAGACGGTCCAAGAGAGCCGGGAGACGCCGAAATATCACTCCCAAACGCCTACGATGGCCTCAAGACGGCCCAACAGGCCTTCAAGACGCCCCAAGAGGTCCCTAAGAGGTCCCTAAGCGGCGTCCCAAGAGGGCTCCCACTAGCAAAAATCGTCCCATTCCCTTAGGAAAACGTGCATCTTTAACATATCCGCCTCTTCGTCTTTCACACCTTTCAAGGCGGTCCAAGAGGCCCCCAAGATCACCCCAAGACGGCCCGAGAGACCCTCTAGACCGCTCAAAGACGGCCCAAGAGCGCTCCAAGAAGGCCCAAGAAACCCTCAAGACGGTCCAAGAGGCCCCAAGACGGCCCCATGATTGAGGTCCACAGGGGCAACCTGAACGGAAATTTTGAGCCTCCCGCCCAAACACGCCCCCGAAATGCCCCTACAAGCCCCCAAGTAGCCCCACGAAGCTCCCAAGAGAGCCCCAAGAGGACAGGCCGCAAGAAAGCCCCAAGAGGCCCCCAAGAGACCCCCAGGAAGCTCCCAGGAGGCCCCCAAGAGGCCAGGCAGACCCCCCCCCAAGAGACCACCAAGAGGGCCCACCCAGAGCCATCCACGAGGCCTCCCAAAGTTCCCAAGAAGCTCCCACGAAGCTTCCAAGGGCTCCCAAGACCCCCCAAGACCCCGCGATGGCACAATACGGGCCGGCGGAATGAGCGAAGCGATTCAATAACTACACACAGATAACAGGATACCCTATATATTCCCATAGTTTCTGTTTTTTGTCTTCCCCCACTTCCCATATTTTCCCATATTTTCTGGGGAATCGACGACTACTTGTGTCTGTGTGTTTTTTCCCTCCTGATCATGTCCCTCTGAAGCGAGACCCCAAAACCCACCACGCGGATACACTGAGGTACGCCCAAGGGGGGGTCGGTCAGTGCCAGAGGCCAGCCTTGTGGCTCCTCCTCTCCCCTTGGGACGGACGTCGAACAGGATGTGGAAGAAACCACCAAACACCAATCCGACAAAAAACAAGCTTGTACAACAACAGATGCGAGCAACTCAAGCAGCACCACACACAACAACTGCAACAGGCGCAATGCGCAAACACCACACTGCCATAGGAGGTGACTCAACCAAAGCCAACGTAACTAATGCGCTCCTTGCTCTGGTTGCCAGCCCGCTCAGCACTACTGCTTTCCGCCACCATGGAGAAAAGGCCCAAACAGCGCGCCACCGCCGAGCTCCAGCCCCGGGCCCCTCAAGCGCCACGAGAAGGCGAAGAGCTCGATTCAAGGCATCACGAGGAAGCCAAAAGCTTACTACGGAGACACCTCGAGCAGATGCTTGAGGGACGAGGAGGATGAGGACTAGGAGGAAGAGGAGAAGGCGGAGGAGGAGGAGGAGGAGGAGGAGGGGGAGGAAGAGGAGGAGGAGGAGGAGACGGTGGAGAAACAAAATCCATACGCTGCCTCGCGCAGTGGCCGAGCTAGTACTTTATGCGTCGCTCCAATACCAACGGATGATCCCTGAAGGAAATCCAGGAGGAGGAGGCGAGGAGGAGGAGGAGGAGGAGGAGGAGGAGGAGGAGGAGGAGCTGGAACTGGAAGAGGAGGAGGAGGAGGAGGAGGAGGCGAGGAGGAGGACGAGGAGGACGAGCTGGAGGAGGAGGAGGAGGAGGAGGAGGAGGAGGAGGAGGAGGACGTCAAGGAGGAGGAAGGATCGATGAGCGTTGAGCGAGCTGGATGGGGAGGCCGAGGAGTCCAGCTGCCCGCTCCCCGCCCGCTTGCAGATCGCCCGCACTTGCGCAGTGCGCGCTCTCCTCCTCCGAGCACCAAGCTCCACATCCAGGCCTCCCAAAGACGTCCCAAATCGTCCAAAACCTCATCGGCCCTCGATCACCCCCTCCCCCTCGATCCTCGATCTCCCAGGGAAGAGGCGGCGAGCCTCCCAGTGGTGAGGCTCCGCCCGAAATTGGCAGACACGGATCACGTCACGATCTAGAAGAGAAATGCACAAACATACACTTTCGAGGGCCCGCGGCGATGTCTTGGATCGACGCAAGACCCCCTTCCCTGGCGCGCGGAGCACGCCAGGGGCGGCGACGGAGGCGCCGCAAAGGGGTCCAGCGCCGGTCCAAGAAATCCGCGCGGACCCTCGAAATGTATGTAGATTGTAGATGCCGTGCTCCTTCTTCGACTGGTAGTAAGTCGGGCGTGTCCTCCTACAGACGGCTTTTGGACGAAAAATCAAACATATTCAAATAGCATCCAAAAAATAATCAAAAATAGTCGAAAAGTCGTCACCTGCTTTTTTCTTATATCTTTGGAACGTTCCTCCTGTAGAAAGGCAGGCCCGACTCAGACTGGTGGCATCCGCCCCCCCCTCGATGGCATGCGCGGGCGCTGCCCCCCCCGCACCGGGACGCCTTTGGAATCGCGAAGTGGCCGCCGAGGCACGAGACCTTCTTGAGCGAGCGCCGGGGCGATGCCGACGGGTGGGAGTTCAGCCAGAGCACCTGCGAACATGCACCCGGCTGCATCCCCTCTCTTCGGCTACACGCAGGAGTGACCCTGCGTAAGAGTGACCTTTGGTGCGCGGCTTTTGGGGGGCCGCGGGGGACCAAACCTGGGCGCGCAAGCCGCTGCTCATGCTTCGTTTTCAGCCATCTGGGGACCCATCTGTGCCCGCACCAAAGGTCACTCCGGCGAAAGGTCACTCTTACGTCTAGTCGATCTCTGAGGGGCCGCGTCAGGAGAGAACCGGCTCGAGGGGAGAAGCATCGACCTGGAACGGGCGATGCATCGCCGATAGATAGGCGATAGGCCGCACGTTCCTGGGCGGGACGGGCTATCGGGCCCCATCGGCGATCAACGCACGATTAGGGGTCGATGCGTTCCCCCCTGAGCCTACCCCCTAACGGTGCACCTGACTCTTTCCGCTACCCCATCCCCCTCTTTCTCCAAAGTCCAAGTGCTCTCCTCTGTACACAGTCACCGTGCTACCGAAAAGATCACCTAACGAAGAACGAAGCCGTTTTCGGGCTCCAAAGAGAGCACCTGGGTGCACGAGGAGCGCTGGAGGAACAACCAGGAAGGACAAGAGGAACAACGAGCTCCTTCCGCACCCGAACTGCTCCTGATTCTGAGAAGGGGCCCTTGGACACACAAATAAATACACACGAATAACCGGATTCCCTATATTTTCCTAATTTTCTGGATTTTGTTCTTCCCCCCCACTTCCCATATTTCCCTATATTTTTTGGGGTATCGACGATTAATTGTGTCTGTGTGTTTTTTCCCCTCCTGATTCTGGCGTCCTGACTGCATACGGTGAGGGCATCGGATCAGGAACCCTTGCATAAAGATTCCAGGGTCTGGACGCCGGTGGACCTCTAATCGTGCATTGCCCATGAATGCCATCGCCGCCCTTATCTGATGAGGGATCCTCCAGGGCCTGAAGCCTCTTGGGCACATGCCTTCACCAGCGCCCCCACCGTCATCATCTCCGCCCTCCTCGACCAGCACGACCACCTCCGATGTGTCCTATAGGCGCTCTGCTGCCGTGCCCACCAGGCACGACCGCGCGCGGGCGACCGACTAGGACACACACGTGGCCACGCGGCCGAAAAACTGCAACGATACACACACAAACACACACGCACACGCACACGCGCACACACACACACACACACACATACACACACACACACACACGCACGCACGCACGCACGCACGCACGCACGCACGCACGCACGCACGCACGCACGCACGCACGCACGCACGCACGCACGCACGCACGCACGCACGCACGCACGCACGCACGCACGCACGCACGCACGCACGCACGCACGCACGCACGCACGCACGCACGCACGCACGCACGCACGCACACACACACACACACACACACACACACACACACACACACACACACACACACACACACACACACACACACACACACACACACACACACACACACACACACACACGCACACGCACACGCGCACACCCGCACACGCACGCACACGCACACACACACACACACACACACACACACACACACACGTGCGAATGATCTGAGCCACTCTCGCGCACTCAAGCAGATGCCAGCGCACGTTCGGGTAGACATCCGCCCCCAGGCAGGCGTGCACGAGCGCAGGCAGGCCCATCTCCCCCGTGCCGGCTTCTCTTGCGAGCCCCCCCACCCTCCGGTCCGCCCTGTGCCCCCGCCCGCACCCCGCCGCGGCCCACCGGCCCCGCGCCTCCTCCTTCCACGGCAGCGCCGTGCCCCCTCTCCGCCCCGACCCTCCCCCCGGACCCAGCGACGCACGCCACCGCTCCGCGCCGCGGCCCCGGGCCCCCAAGCCGCCCCGACCTCCGCACGCACCCGGGGGAGAGGTCCGCGGGGGGGAACTGTGGGAGGTGGGCGACGCGAGTCAGGGGCCCCTGCACGAACCAACAGGGGCGCACGCAGCGCGGGAGGATCCGATGCCTCGTGGTGTCCCGTTCGGTTGCTGAAATTTCTCGGCACTCCCCCCCCCCCCTCCTGCCCGCAGCCCCTCCCGCGTGCACCCCACCTCCGGAGGCTCCCCGCGCGCCCTGCTCCCGGAGTCTCCCTGGCGGTATTCGGGGCTTCCGGGATAGACGGCCCAGACGACCACCAAGGCCGCCAGCAGGACTGAGCATTGCCCCGAGGGGCGCGAACGAAGCCCTCGGAGACTCCAAGAGGCACTGCAGGAAGCCAGAGGCCAAAAGCATTGCAACCCCAAGGGCTTTCACATGCTCTCTGCCTGCCGCGCCTCGCTGCCCCAAGACACCGAAGGAGGCCACGAAAGGCCCCCAAGACGTCCCCCAAGCGGCCCCAGCAAAGCTCTCTGTCCCAGCGCCTTCCAAAACTGCCCCAGGACTCCCCGCCCCAAACGGCCACACGGCCGTCCAAGATGGCCCGATGACCCCCAACACCTCAAAGAAGCTCCAAAGAACTCCTCCGACTGAGTATCGTTTACCCGATCCCCATCCCCAGCGGCGTGGCCTGGGCCCCACTGGCCGATTTACCCCCCTAGATGGGAGTATAGGCCGTTCCTTTCGGGTTTCGAGGGGTGCATCCCCAACTGGGGGGTTTATTTGGTGGGGTCTCGAAGGGAATGGGAATGGGGATGGGGGTCGGATAAACGATGCTGACCAAAAAAGGCTCTCTGGAGGCACTGGGCCGTCGGGAAACCACACGATGCCGCCCTCACTCCAGTGGCAAAGCGAGTTGCTCCATGTGGCTCCCCGGATGAGCGGCGTCAAATGCGTTACACACAGACATCCGGCTGCTCCAATTTTTTTTGGTGCGTGGACCCAAGAGGTCCAGACCACTTCGCCGGGACCGGTTTTTCGTCCTGAGTCGTTTTTGACGCTCCCGAGGCCCAGCGAGGGCCCCCGGAGGACGAAAACTGTCAAAAACCGCCTGCTACAATTTTTGTTGGAGCGTCGGATCTCAGGGCACCCGGGGCAGGAAGGACAACTACCACACGCGGTTCGCCGGCGGCCCTCCGCCGGCGATGCCCGCCCCAAGCCTTGCTTCCGCCGGCCTCCCACGCCGGGCGTTCTGCCGAAGAAGTAGAATGGAGAGCAACTCACACGGAGGCTCCGGGTCGTTCCCGTGGCGCCCGCGTGGCGCTGTTGGGCTCGTGTGGGCGCTGCCTGAGCGAGCGCTGCTCGGCGCTTCTGGGCGCTACTTGGGCGCTGCTTGCGCGCTGTCGAGCGCTGTTCGGCGCTGATCGCCGACATGCACTCAACCCAAGACGAGCGGAAGCTTCCATGATCTTCGGCTGCACGCAAGAGTGGCCCTGGGTAAGAGTGACCTTTGGGGCGCGACTGTTCGGTGGCCGCGGGGGGGCCAAACCCAGGCGCGCAAGACGCTGCTATCGCGTCGCGTTCGGTGATCGGGAGACCCCCTTGAGCCCGCACCAAAGGTCACTCCGGCGAACGGCCACTCTTACGTGTAGTCGAGATCTACTGGCCATCAGACACAGGAGCTGCTCAGCCTCTCGACCCTCGAAGGGAAGGCCGCCCCCTCGTGGGCGGGTGGAGCGCGCGGGGGGCCGCGCGAGGGGGGGCGGCCTCCTGGGAAGGCTGGGGCCCTCCCAGAGGCCAGGGGCCCTCTCTTCCCGCTCTCGCCCTCGTCGTCGCCTCGTCGTCCCTCCCTCGTCGTCTTCGTCGTCGTCGTCGCCCGCGTCGTCGCCGAAGAAGAGAAACCTCATGAACATAAACTGTCGGAGCTCCGCGCAAAGTTCTTGGATCTGCGCTGGGCTCCCGGCGCGCTCCGCGCGCCAGGGAGGGGGGCCCAACAGCGGTCCAGGAAGTCCGCACGGAGCTCTGAAAGGTCGTGCTTCTGTCATTGGCCGTCCTTGCCTGTCACGGAGCCTGGCAGCTTCTGCGAAGGCCTCCCGGGAGCCAGGAGGGCTCCTGTCGATGATCACCGGAGCATGTGTTAGCGGCAACATGCGTTTGTCTACCGAGGCCGTTCAATGCGACGCGGGCGACTCAACGAGGGCCGACACCGACTGCGCGCTATCAGGGGAACCGAATGGGGTCAACATACGCTAGGGCCAACACACTTTGGACGCCCGAAATGGGTACGGAAAAAATCATTACAAAGCCGAACAACAAATTTTGCCCAAAACCGAAAGCGGCCGCTGTTGGGCAGGCGGCTTTCTCTCTTCAAATAACCGCGCCGCGGCGGCTCGGACAGCGAGTCCTGTTCAAAATGAACACGAACTGCTGTTGGGCATTGTACCCATCATTTCCGTACCCATGTCGATCGTCCCGACAGCAGAGGGGCGGCCAAGATAGGGGCGTCCAAGAGGGTGGGGCGCAAATCATGGCCGGCGGCATGTGCGCGGCCCAGGGGGGGGGACGTAAGGAAATAAGAAGAGGCGCCATGAGATCTGGGGAGATATCATGGCCCCCGCCAACATATCCACACCCCCTAGTCCTCACCCCCTCTTGGCCGCCCCCGAGACACACGTCCCCGTCCAGGCATTCCTGTAGGCCCACCACGACATGTTCTTAGAACCCCCAACAACTTCTAGTAAAAAAACAACGTTCTTAGAACATAAACACGATGTGGTGAAACAAGACAATACCAGCCACATAAACGTTCTAAGAACAGTTCGTGCAGACCATACAGGGTTTTCGGAACATGATTTGGTGGGCCTATAGGCAAGCCGGAGCGCTTCGCCACTGCTTGAGTCCTGAGGATCGTCGATCCGCAGCAGGCGCCCCGGCCTTCCGTGTGGCGCCCACGCCTTCATGGAAGGCCGCCGACCTCGCGCCCCGCCCCCTCCCTAGAGGCCTCCTAGATGTGGTCGGAAGATCGCGCCGAATCGACAATGCGTCGGTGATGAATCGGCGATGCATCGGTGATGCATCGGCGACGTCGGCATGGAGAAACACGTGCTCCACATCGAGCCGCATCGTCGATGCATCGGCGATGCGGCGCGATCCTTCAACCCCATCTATCCCGACCCCATCTAGGAAGCCTAGACTCTCTGTGCGCGCCAGCGGCCCCTTCTGGAAAGGCCCAACCCGGAGAGCTAGGGAAGCGGGGAGGAGGTGGAAGAGGAGGAGGATGAGGAGGAGGAGGAGGAAAAGGAGGAGGAGGAGGAGGAGGAGGAGGAGGAGGAGGAGGAGGAGGAGGAGGAGGAGGAGGAGAGAGAGAGGAGGAGGAGGAGGAGGAGGAGGAGCAGGAGGAGGAGGATGAGGAGGAGGAGGAGGAAAAGGAGGAGGAGGAGGAGGAGGAGAGGAGGAGGAGGAGGGGGAGAGGAGGAGGAGGAGGAGGAGGAGGAGGAGGAGGAGGAGGAGGAGGAGGTCCCCCCGGGGACTCACGGGGGGCCAGCTCTCCGTCGCGAGCCGTCTATCCTCGGCCCTGGGGCATTGGGAGGGCGCCGTCACGGCGAACGAGCTCCCGGACCCGCTCCTAGAGGCCTCCGAGATGGGGTCCGAGTAGATGGCGAGGCGAGGCGAGGCGAGGCGAGCGGCATGCGGAGAGTCCGCGCCCGTGGAGGGCTGCCGGTACACTGCCCACTTCTCACGCGCGCTTCTCCGAGTAGATGGGGTCGGAGGAACTCGCCGCATCGCCGCTGCATCGGCCATGCACAGGCGACGTCGGCGGTGCATCGGCGCCGCGGGCGTGGAGCAAGCTGGGCTCCGCGTCGAGCCGCAGCGCCGATGCATCGCCGATGCATCGGCGATGCGGCGCGATCCTCCGACCCCATCCACTCGGATCCCATCTATCGGGAGCGGCCAAGAGGGGGGTGTCCAAGAGGGGGGAGTGCAAATCATGACTGGCGGCATGTGCGTGGCCCAGCGGGGGGGCCAGGGACGTAATGAACTAAGAAGAGGCGCCATGAAACCCGGGGAAACATCATGGCCCCCGCCATGATATCCCCACCCCCTCTAGTCATCACCCCCCTCGTTGCCGCCCCCGAATCTAGGAGGCCTAGACCCTTTCCTCCCAGACTCCCGACGATGTGATCTCTTCACTCCTCGGCCCTGCAGGGGTCCCGGCGCCCTCTCTGGGGGCAACCTGCAAGTCCCCGATCCGATCGTGACAGTCCCGGGGACCGACAGGTGGGCCCCAAAGGCCGAAGTCGAGGAGAGCAACGCCAGGATCGACAAAAGGCATCGATCGGCGGCGCCGGCACGGGCGTGGTGCGAGAGGGGTGCCCTCGTAAAAAGGCGGGGAGGGAGGAGGAGGAAGAGGAGGAGGAGAAGGAGGAGGAGGAGGATGAGGAGGAGGAGGGCGGGAGGAGGAGGAGGAGGAGGAGGAGGAGGAGGAGGAGGAGAAGGAGGAGGAGGGCGGGAAAAGGAGCAGGAGGAGGAGGAGGAGGAGAAGAAGAAGAAGAAGGGGAAGGAGGAGAAGAAGAAGGAGTAGGAGGAGGAGGAGGACGAGGAGGGCTCCTTGAGAAGGCAGGCGGCCTCTTCGAAGCCCTCCCGGCTTCCAAGAAGCTTTTTTTTGCGAAGCCCCGGGGCCCTAATTACCAGGAGGGCGGCTTCCTTCTGAGAAGCCCCCCGTCTGCTCAGACGGCCGCCCCCCTCGCGCCATCCCCGCGCGCGCGCGCCGCCACACATCGTCGGAACTCTACGCCCCACTTGGTAGTCCCCAGACGTGGTGGTGACAGCACCCGGCGGTGAGCCTCGGGCGATTTGGTGTCACCACCCGGTCTGGGGACGCGTGTGGTTTGTCGAGGATGTCCCAAACGCTGGTGGGCCCAGGGGTCACAACACCCGGACGTGGCCCCGTGTTCCCAAAGCCTGGCGGTGACTTTTTGGGGGTGCCAGGCGTCACCACCTGACATCTCACCACCTGGTTTTGGGGGGCTTCCAACCCATGGCGTCTTCTGCTGGGCGCCTCCCGGAGCACGGCCTCGGTGAACGGCATCCTGGCCAGCGCCCACCTCTCCACCAGCTCGGCCGCGGTCAGGCCAGCGTGCTCCTCGCGGAGACCTGGGGACAGCATCGATCGCCACAGGGGCCATTGAGGAAACCCTGGGCCCAAGCAGAAAACTGGGGCCTGGGGCCCGGGGTCCTGGATGATGGGGGGGGCCGCCGAAGTTGTGGCCCAGAGGGGGCTGCGGCCCAAGGAGAGCAGGCCTGGCGGTGGCGCTGTACCCTGAGAGATCCAGCGTCGCGAAGAATTACAATGGAAACCCATGCCGTATGCAGCGTCACTGCCAAGTTCGCCTCCTCTTTTTGGCACACATACCATGACAAATCAAAGAAAAATCTGAGGTCCGCGCGGCGGCGCTGGACCCCCTTCGCGGCGCCTCTGGGTCCGCCCCTGGCGCGCCCCGCTCGCCGGGCAGCGGGTTCCAGCGCCGATCCGAGCAAATTCGCGCGGAGCTCCGAATTTATGCTTTCAGTGGAAACCCATGCCAAGAAACACCCTGCTTGCCTCCAGGGTGCCCTGGGTTTCTTGGGTTTCGATCGGTCTCTGGGGGGGGGCGAAACTCTCACTGCCGACTGACGCGCCTGCCGTGCGGACGGCGCTGGTATATGCACGAAGTATTCGAAACTAGAAATCCGACGAACGGCGCGCAAAGGCAAACGGGTGTCTTCGTGGCCCAGCCCCGCCCCTGATTCCGTGTTCGCTCACTGCGCCCGCAAGTTTCTGGGATAGTTAGTACGTCTCGTGGCGCGCCTCGCCAACAAAAAGTCAACCAGAAACGGCGCGACGGAAACACTTACAAATTCACGTTGGGGGGCCAAGACGAAGCACGTACAGGGACCGCTGGGGACGAGGAAGGCGGATTGGCCCCGCCTCCATCTCCAGCGGACCACCCCTGCGCGCGCCCCTAGAGTCGAGCTTGAGTGGAGAGGACGCGCGAGAGGACGCAAGACCCTCCCGAGGGCCACGTCGCCACAGGCATGTAAAAAGGCATGCGTCGCGAGACGCAGGACACAGTCCTCCTCCTCCTCCTCCTACTCCTCCTCCTCCTCCTCCTCCTTCTCCTCCTCCTCCTCCTGTGAATGAGAATTCGCTCCCAATCCCCACGGCCTACGGCCCTAACCTCCCGCCGATCCCCACGGTACAGCTCCGCCCGTTGGTGAGGGGTCGAGGTAGAGGAGGGAAGGGAGGCCAAGCACGTGGAAGAAGGAGCAGCTCTCTGTAGTAGCGTCCCGTGCTTCCCCCTGTGGCCTTTTTTCTAGGGTGACGCATTCATTTGACATGTAATGACCTGCGCACTCTCTGGCCACGGGGATCGAAGGCATTTCATCGGTCCCCAGGGGGCGCCCCTGGGCTGCGTGCCATATTTGGGGGTTGCCCCTAATGGGGCAGTGCGGCTCCGCCCGAGCGCAGGGGCCGTGGATAGGAAGGCGGCCCGAAGGGTACGCCACTCAGAGTTCTACGCGAGGCCAGGTCTTAATCCAGTCGAGCCGCGGGTAACCCCGCAACCCACCGAACTCCAGGAGTCCAGTCCAGTCCAGTCCTCCTCCTCGGGCACCCCTGATCTGGCAGAGGTCGACCTGCTGATCGTGGGCCGACTCCACTTCCGGACCGCCGGGGAACGGACCGGAGAACGGACCGGCCCCGTCTCCATCCCCTGCGCGCCGCCCCGACGATCAAAATGCCGAAGTGTGAACCTCTTTGGCGAAGGGGGCCCCGGGACACACACAAAACATAGATAGGCACAAATGACCGGATCCCCCCTATCGTTTCCCATGTTTTTTTCTGGGCTTCTGTCTCCCCCCGACTGCCCATAGTTCCCCAATCTTTTCTGGGCTTCTGTCTTCCCCCCACTTCCCATAGTTTCCCCATATTTTCGGGGAGGTCGACGATGAATTCTGTCTGTGTGCTTTTTCCCCTCCTGCTTTGGGCTCGGGGGGGGGGGGCCCTGGTTCCTGGGGACGCTCTTGGGGCATTGGCCGGGGGGGCCCGCTCGCGGGCGACCAGAAGGGCCGCAGCACGATGGCCGAACATGCGTGAAGGGGCCCTGGGACACACAAACAAGCAGACGCAAATATGACCGGATTTTCCCCACACTTTTTCCCAGACCTTCTGGGCTTTTGTCTTCTCCCCCCCCCCGCACTGCCCATATTTTCCCCATATCTTCGGGGGAGTCGACGATGAATTGTGTCTGTGTGTGTGTGTTTTCCCCTCCTGATTTGGGCTCGGGTGGGAGGCCCAAGGACACACAAACAAGCAGACACAAATAGAACCGGATGCCCCACAGCTTCCCATATTCTCTGCGCTTCTGTCTTCCCCCCCACTGCCCATATAGTTCCCAAAATTTTCGGGGGAGGTCGACGATGAATTCTGTCTGTGTGCTTTTTCCCCTCCTGATTTGGGCTCGGGGGGGAGGCCCTGGTTCCTGTAGGGGGCCGCATGCGAACCCTACCCCTACCCCCCACGATTTCTGAGGGGGAGGGGGGGATCACTTCGCTCGGGAGCTCCCGAGCGAAGTGGAGCTCCCGAGCGAAGTGAACCCCACCCTCCCCCTCAGAAATCGTGGGGGCTAGGGGTAGGGTTCGCATGCGGCCCCCTACAGGAACCAGGGCCTCCCCCCCGAGCCCAAAGCAGGAGGGGAAAAAGCACACAGACAGAATTCATCGTCGACCTCCCCCGAAAATGTTGGGAACTATATGGGCAGTGGGGGAGGGAGAAGACAGGAGCCCAGAAGAGATGGGAGACTGTGGGGTTCGCATGCGGCCCCCTATCCCAGGGACGCCCTTGGGGCACTGGCCGGGGGGCCCGCTCGCGACCGAGGCTCGCGGGCGGCCAGCAGGGCCGCAGCACGATGGCCGAGCATGCGCCCCGACCTCCGACTCTCGAGAGAGCAGGAGGAGGAGGAGGAGGAGGAGGAGGAGGAGGAGGAGGAGAAAGAGGAGGAGGCGGAGGAAGAGGAGGAGAAGGAGGAGGAGGAGCATGAGCAGGAGGAGGAGGAAGCCACGGGCTGAGGAGGGGCCCGCCGCCGCGTGGGGTCGTGTCGTCCCCTCGTTCGGCCAGCCCCGTCAGCCCGGGCCAGCGCGCCGCGGCGCCATTAAAGAAGCAAAGCTGAAGAGAAGCGCCGCGGCCGCGACGCCTAGGCTAAAGAAAGACGCCCAGGCAGAAGGAAGAAAGTTGGCACAGGAGGGCCCGCATAGCGCGAGGCCACGCCAGGACACTCTTGAAGGTAGTCGAGGCCTCCAGACTACTTGCAGATCATCACTCAGCACAGCCCTTCGACAACATGGCGAAGAGCTGGAAGCAGCAGCAGCAGCGCGGCGCCTCGAGGGAAAGGTGGTCAGGAGCAGGGACCACACACCTCGAGGCGTCTCAGCGCGGCCCTGGGAAAAGGTGGACAGGAGCAGGGTCCACAGCCCAGGCGCAGCGCCAGCGCAGCGCAGACTGGACTGGCGACTACGGAGCCATTGGTGGGCGGCCCTGGGAGTGGCAGCAGCATAGTCAGCAGCAGCAGCAGCAGCCACAGACCCACAAGCGCCACCAGCAGCAGCAGCAGCAGCCACAGACCCACAAGCACCAGCAGCAAAGCGACAGCGACCAGCACTGGAAGCACAGAGCGCCCTGGAGGAGCGCCTCAGCCAGAAAGAGAAGCGGCAGGCGCAGAAGAAGGGACCAGCTCGACATGCCTGCCGCAGCCCACATCGGCAGCTACCAGTACAGCCCCCAGCAGAAGGCAGTCCTGGACAGCATCACGCCAGTCTCCTTCGCCGTCGCGATGGAGCACGAGAGCTGGTCCGCACCTCCAGATGACGAAGAGATGAGGTTCGTGTGGTACAAGACCAAGTGCCACAGGCTGGGGCGTCTCACCGAGAACATCGCAGGTGCTAGGCTGGCCGGCTTGTGCACAACCAGCCTCGAGCAGGAAGCGGCGATCACCGCCACGAACATCTCCTTCGTCCTGCCCCATAAAGAACGCATGAGGCAGCTCAGGGCCACGCTGGAAAAGCTGGAGGGGGAGCATGCAGAGATGGAGAAGCGGCTCAGCAAGATGCTGGACCAGGAGGCGACGGCAGCCAGAACCATCAGGGTCTACAAAACCCTGATGAGGGAAACCAGAGATCAAATGGCCAAGTCGGCGGGAGTAAAGGACGAATCATCCGAGGAAGACGGGAGCCATGATCCCACCAGAGGACGCACGCCACACCCAGCCGCGAGGAGAAGGCGCGACCCTGCGGCAGCTCCAGCGGCTCCGGCCATGGCCCAACCAGCCACAGCTCAGCCAGCCCCAGCCCAGCAGCCCCGACCAGTCCCAGCAGCATCAGACGAGATCAAAGACGCCATCAGGAGATTGACCGAGAGGCTTGATTCGCAGCAGAAAAAAGAACAGCAGCAAAGCGACCTACTTGCACAAGCAGAGTTCAAGCACAAAAGCGAACTGAAGGCCTACGAGCAGACCATCGCGCAAAAGATGTACCACACGACCGAAGAGCAGTTGGCCAAGCAGGAGAAGTGGCACATATGGGAGGTCAACGCTCTCAAGCGGCACCACAACGCCAAGCTAGAGGAGGAGGAAGCAAAAGCATACGAAGCACAAAGAGGCACCCAGAGGACACAGGAGGAAAGGGCCAAAGGGATGCTCGCAGACCTGCAAATGCATATCGAGATGGAAAAGAAGACCTTGCGCGAGGAGATGCACATGGAAGACCAGAGAAGAGCAGCCATGTACACGCAGCAGGTCCAGAAGGCCAGGCAGGAGGAGCAAGCTGCGAGAGAGATGGCAACCCAAGAGGCCCAGTGGTACAAGATGGCGCAGGAGCACAACGAGAAGGCGATGCAGGAGATGGCGGAGGCGGAGTACCAGGAGAGATGCGCCCGCCACAGCGCTTATAAGGAGGAGGAGCTGCGGATCGCAGTGAACTATCAGCAGATGGCCCACGAGCATCAGGAAGAAGCCAACAAGCGCGAAGCGATGCGGGTCGTCCTGAACCTGGAGCACGCAGCCATCCAGGCGAAGGCATACGAGATGCAGCACGAGCAGGAAAGGTATCTGG